TGTAACCAGACAAGTTGGACACACAGGAGTGGGGTAAATGACACAAAAAGGTAAGGATAGTATTAGACTAGTGACAGTTGCAGAAGATGAATCAGTCAGGAGCTATTAACAGTTTAATTGATATGCTTTTAGGAAGAAGTGGGTTTTTAATGATTTGAAGGAGTGGAGACTGGGTGAGCATCTAACGGAGGAGGGAAGACAGTTCCACAGGAACGGTGCAGCCCTCGAGAAATCTTGAAGGCGAGCATCAGAGGTGGGAGTACGGACAGAAGATAGACGTAAGTCTTCAGCAGATCGTAAGGGCCTAGACAGGACATACTTGTGTATAACGGAGGATAGATAGGTGTGAGCAGCATTATGTAGAGATTTGAAAGCAAGAACCAGAATTTTAAATTGAGCTCTATATTTTATAGGAAGCCAATGTAGGGACTGACAGAAGGGTGAGGCATGGGAGGTGAGGGCGGACAGGAAGATGAGCATCGCCGCCGCATTCATTATGGACTGTAACGGCGCAAGTTGGGAGCACGTAAGACCACTGAGAAGCGGATTACAGTAGTCAAGGCAAGAAAGAACAGTGGAATGGACCAACACCTTAGTCGTATCTGGCGTTAAGTAGGGGCGGATGCGCACAATGTTTTTGAGTTGGAAATGACAGGATGTGGCGATAGATTGAACATGAGGCTTGAAGGAGAGGTCGGAGTCAAAGAGAACACCTAGGCAGCGAGCCCGAGTGGTAGAGCTGATGGTAGCACCGTTGACTTGGAGGGAGGGAGACACAGGAGTAACAACACTTGAGGGAGGAAAGACCAGAATTTCAGTTTTGGTCAAGTTTAGTTTAAGGAAGTGGGCAGCCATCCAGTTAGAAACAGCAGAGAGGCAGTCAGAGACACTAGTCAAGAGGCTAATGTTTCAGCTCCACAATAAAGCTTTTTTCAAGCCTTTCCCACTTTGGAGGTACCCTAAATCGGGTCTGATAATTTTCACGTGTGCCACTGAAACTGAAAATGAAAGGATAATGCACAATATTAAAATAACTAAAAGAAACTTCTGACATCTTAATAATAAAAGAGGGAAGTCACTCACCAAATGTGAACCTCAAGTCCAACGGGGAATCGGTGTCACACTGAGCTGTTACAATACTGCATCAAATACAAAGATAAAAAAAAGTATATCATTACACCCAGTCAGGAAGGTAGCATATCTGTGGCTAATAATAATAAAGGGACACTCTAAACACACCAAGTATTACAGAGCTCTGTAGATGTGTGGGTGCCATTAGACCACTGTAGTATGTGCATGGGCAAAAAATTCGGTTTGGACTTCCGAAATTCAGGACTTCTGCAATTCGACAATTCGGGACTTTGGCACTTCGGTTCGGCACTTCCTACCCCAACCCTAATCCCATCCCTAACCCTACCCTAACCCTACCCCAACCCTAACCCCATCAGTAACCCCAACCCTAACCCTAACCCCACCGCTAACCCTAACTCCTACCCCTAAACCCACCCCAGCCCTACCCCTAACCCAACCCTACCATAACTCTACCCCAAGCCTACCCCTAAACCTAATCCTAACCCTATTAGGGGTAGGGTTAGGGGTGGAGTTAGGGGTAGGGTTAGGGTAGGGTTAGGTTTAGATTCCTGTCATCATTCCCTTTATTTTCCCTCCCTCTCCTGTTTTGCCACTTTTCAGAAATCCAAAGCACTTCAGAACTTCTGAAATTCACACTTCGAAAATTCGGTTCAGTTCATGTCTACATTGTAGCAATCCCCACCAGGTAAGAGCAAAACTATTTTTGAATGGTTTGATATTTACCTTGGTCTCCTTCAGATATTGTTAAAGTTAAAGGTCTTAAAAGAGTGGAAATTATTATATCTAATACAAATAGGCATCTTCTGCTTGAGCTGTATCTGAAGAAGGGATAGGGTTGGCAAACCCATGAGTGAAGGAACCAAATCTGGTATATCTTTTAAAAATGTATCTTTCGCTGTTTAAAAAATATAAGAATAACAAAACATATATTAAGAATTATATAAACATATATTAAGAATTGGTCATCCTATTCTACTTCTCTACAGATTGGTGTTCAGGGGACTCAAGAAAGTGTGAAATCATTCAAAAACATTTTGACCCTTTCTCTGGGGACTCGACTGGCCCTATAATTCCTAAAAGATGTTTATCATAAAAAAACTTTCTGATTTTATCTATACTTGATTCATAATAAAGTCAACTGCCGGCCTCTGATATTTTCACCTTCCTCATACCTGAATTTTTTTTATCTTTGTATGGATACTACATAGCAAGAAATAACAGGACCTTTGCAATAGGCTACACCTGAGCCTAAATTGTAAATTACAGCCAGAGCAAATGGATTTGACCATTTTCTTGTGAACAATTTTATTAGGCGAGCAGATGAAACAAAAGAAGAACAATCAAAAAACATTGAGCAGGTGGCATGCAAAAAGTTTTACTGGAAGGTCTAACGAGGAAAACAAAAAAAAATTCAAACATGCAATGTGTTGTTTGCACTACAATTGCTTTATCAACAGCATGGTCTTGAAAACTAATATATTGGAATCCTAGCCAGCTATTCAGCACCACAACACTTTACACGAACTTGCTATGTTAGGGATGATAGCGGGATTCCTGGACATTGCGATGACCAGTTCACTCGGGTAATTCAAAGTTCACTACTTCGGATATCTTTATTGCATATGCATGAATCTATTTCCTTTTATTGTTTATGTTGGAGAAATTACGCTTTTTTTTTGTAAAAAAAGGAAGAAAAAACAAGTGCTTAAGGAAACAGCATACCAACATCACTCTAGTACTCGTAAAAGAGTTCTTGTCATTCCTTTGATATTAACCATTTCAGTAGAAGAAATTTCAGGCTTATATTAATTATGATATCAAATGTTAGAATTATTGGAAAATGCTGTTAAATATAAATGTAGTGAGTATAGATATGCCTGACATTTTTTCGGTTGATAGAATTAAAGGAACACTCCAAGCAATGATCTGTAATGGTTTTTGGGCCAGGCGCTTTTTAGTATAGTTGGCGAACTAACCTGGGTTGTGACAGCTGCTAATGTCCAAATCGTTTGAGTCTGTTTTTTTCCAAAAGGACAATCTGGATTGCTATATAGAGCAAAAGGAACAATACAGGACCATGATTACAGACTGAGAGTACCAATTGAGGGCTCTCAGGTAATGAGAGTGGCCCTACATTGGCCTTATTTTATACTACAGAGACATCAATGTTAACCTACAGGGGAAGACTGGATGCAGGGGAATGGGCTGGAAATGTTGTCAACCCATACTGAAACGATTTGATACCTTACTGTGGGACAGTGTCAGGGCACTCCTAATACCATAGGCACTACAGCGGGCTGCAGAGTTAAGCTGCTTGGTGTGTTCCTAAAAACAATCAAGAGTCTCCTTAAAGGACCACTCTAGGCACGAAGACCACTTCAGCTTAATGAAGTGGTCTGGGTGCCAGGTCCATCTAGGGTTAACCCATTCTTTTATAAACATAGCAGTTTCAGAGAAACTGTCATGTTTATGAATGAGTTAAGCCTTCCCCTAAAGCCTCTAGCGGCTGTCTCATTGACAGCCTCTAGAGGCGCTTACGTGATTCTCACTGTGAAAATCACAGTGAGAGCACGCAAGCGTCCATAGGAAAGCATTGATAATGCTTTCCTATGCGACCGGCTGAATGCGCGCGCAGCTCTTGCCGCGCGTGCGCATTCAGCCGACGGAGAGGAGAGGAGGAGGATCGGAGGAGGAGAGCTCCCCGCCCAAGGCTGGACAAAGATACGTTTTTAACCCTTTCCCCCTTCCAGAGCCGGGCGTGAGGGGGTCCCTGAGGGTGGGGGCACCCTCAGGGCACTATAGTGTCAGGAAAACGAGTATGTTTTCCTGGCACTATAGTGGTCCTTTAATCAAGGAAGAATGTTGGCTTCTTCCTTGTGGATGTCAGCCAAACCAGGGTTTTGCAAAGTACTACCCAGGACATCCAATATTATTGTTGATAGTGGTGCTACTGTTAGCCCAAATTATACAAAACATACCAGTGGAGATCAGCACACTCTTAACATAAGCTTTTTCAAGTATTTCAATGCTCGTTGAAATTACTTTCTCAATTAGGCTATAAAGGGATCTTATTACACTGCTGACAAAGTGTGAAGCAAACCACTTCAGTCACTGTCAGTGTTCACCAATGCTGATGGTTTATAATCTCATTTTAACAGAAGAGATGCATCTACTAGTGGAGTTTTGTATTGTTACTCAGTTTGTTCAAAGTAAAGACTCTAGTGGTGGGCTTAACACAGAATGGACGAGGTAGTTGATTTTATGTAGAACTGGCTTATTTGAAACTGTACATTTTGCTTGTGCATTGAAGCCTACTTTTGAATTTTGTATAAAGTTACTTTTGCAATGCCACTATTCAGTATGCAAGTAAGTCATGCAGCCTGGAAGATATATTTCCCTTGTTAAGATAAAGTTATTATAAACTGTTATTTGGATGTTCTGATGAAGATGTGGGCTTAACACTGTACGGCCATATGGTGTGACTACATCCCTATATTTTTACTCTAGATAGGTTGGGTCACCTTACCTTAAAAGACTGTAAACAGCAAGATTATAGATCAATCTGTGCTGCCGTCAAGCCAATGGGGCCCATCAAGGGTACTTCAACACTATATAGGTCTGGTTTGTGACATAGAAATATATCCTCACCTGTGGTCACGTTGCAGGATTTTATCACAGCAGCATCTACCTAATGGCATTGCCGGCTCCCTTTACACATCTCTGCAAATCAGATTGCTTTAGATGCACAGGATGCTGTGCAGGAGAACAAGCGACAGCCAGCTCCCAAAAGACCACAGCGAAGCCACCCTCTTGTGGTACAACTTAGGCAACAAAAGGATAGCTAAAAATATTATATTCAAAATATCAAACAAAGGGTAATGGCTCTGATTCAGGGGTCGTGACCACGACCGATGAATAAGTGCTAGGAAGTCCTGAAATTACTCTTCCAAATAAGGGAATAACCCTCAAATAAGAAAACTCAAAGCAAAAACATAGGACCACAAGAGTCCTAAAATAGAAGAGTAATATAGAAAAAGGGGAATAGGAGTCCCTACCTTTAATAAACCTAAGGATACACACAACAGGACAGGTGGGAAGGGGTATAGCAAAAGAAAGCCCTCCAGAATAGACACAGGAAACCAGTTACTAAAAAAACCCTGCCTGTTAAATGTCTTAATCCTAGAATTCTAATGGTACACCCTCTAAGTCTCCCAAAAACAGGGACCCTAATGAAAAAAAGGGAACTACAAAATTAGAGGAGGGAGCAAATAAGAGGGAAATGCCCCAAAGAGTGAATCTTAGGCAGAAGTCCCTATAAAGAACTGCTATCCCTTGTTACCTCGGCACTGTGATAAGTCACCAGTGCCTACCAAAGAGCTCAGTCCCTGCCTGTCAAAAATTAAATGTAACTGATAAAATAAATTAAATTAAATCAATCCATAAGTGCTACCAAAAAAGTGCAAAGCAAAGAAACAAAATAAAAAGAAGCTTGACGCGCGTTTCAGCGTTTCAACACGCCGTCGTCAGGAGCAACTGTTTTTGGGAGACTTAGAGGGTGTACCATTAGAATTCTAGGATTAAGACATTTAACAGGCAGGGTTTTTTTAGTAACTGGTTTCCTGTGTCTATTCTGGAGGGCTTTCTTTTGCTATACCCCTTCCCACCTGTCCTGTTGTGTGTATCCTTAGGTTTATTAAAGGTAGGGACTCCTATTCCCCTTTTTCTATATTACTCTTCTATTTTAGGACTCTTGTGGTCCTATGTTTTTGCTTTGTATATTCAAAATATATATTCAATGTCAGTACATCTGGTAGTTCTGTGTGTGTATGTCTCTGTCAGACTGTAGTGTGTGTGTGTCTGCATGTTTGTATTTATACATATGACTTGGAGTGTATGCCTGGAAGTGTGCATTTCTATATATCTGTAGGTGTGTCTAGGAGAGTGTGTGTTTGTTTGTAAGTCTATGAATGCATACCTCTATGTGTTTGAGTCTGGAAATATTTATTTGTGTGTATTTACCAGGAAATATGTGTATTTCTTTAAATATGCATCTTGTAGGTATGTATATACACATGTCTGGTCACATATGTCTGGAGATGTAGCTTTGTATATGGCTCCAAAATTTCTAATGGTAGCTTTGGCTACAACAGGTTGACTGGAAAGCCACTGCAAGTCAACAATGATATCATTTTGGGTTTTTGCCTTAATTCAAAACGTATTTTTGAATTCAACTTGAATTACTGAGAATGTATACGTTATAGTCCTGTATAGCTTAACAGTGACTTACACCCATTTATATATTTATAGACCATAACGTCTCTGAAGAAACTTTGCTATATTGATATATGAGTTTGAGTTGTACACTGTTCTTACTAAGTAAATCAGTGTTTCATCTATGAAGGACAGTTGTATTAGCTGGATACAATTTCCAAGTAATCTCTATGCCTTCTGTGAAATACATGTACACTCAGTGTCTCCCAGTAGAAATATATATAAATAAGTACTTTGTCACATACATACTTCCTATGCAAAAAAGGTAACTTAAACATTCATGATGGACCTAATCTATTGTATGCCCAGAAAAGATATGCTGATGAGTCTTTTGCGCTAAAATGTCTTATATCTTCAACGGTGGATATCATAGAGCCAAACCCTTAACTGTCTACGTGAAATGTGCATGTGACAAATTAAGGTCTTAGTGACCTGGCAAAATATTATATATGTAACATGGTGATTGATACTTCCTTTGTTGAGAAGCCTGTATTTCAATTAATTTTACTGATGGTAATTACAAATAGCAGTATTTATGAAGGCCACAAAGAGAAGCCAGTGAACCATGTAAAAATGTCAGCATGCCCGCTGCAGAATAGCCCGTCCTAGGCTTTTCTCCTTGGCAAGTCTTCTAAAAAGTCCTTTTTATTTAGAAGCAAAATGAATTCCAATATGTGAGCATACATGTTGGACCGCTTCTGTCCGCTGCGGCTGATTATATGATCTATTAATTAAATTGTCAATTAAAAACTGAATTTGAGGATTGACAAAATAGCAGAGTTGAAAAAATTCCGTAGCTCATGTAAATTTTCAGGGTGCTATTTGGTCCATATTTAACAAATTTAGGTTTTAATTCAACATGTATAACTGGTCATTTAATACTTTAAATATTTAACAGAAAGCATACAAGAATATTTATTTTACAAATTAATAACAAATTCATAACTTCAGAATTAATAATAAAAATGTATCTTTATTTCTCTAGGGACAACAATAAAGTACTCAACAAAGTGATTAAGCTAGAGAACAGTGTCCCTCTATACAATCATGTATATGAGGTTTTGTAAAATAAATGAATACATCAATAAAAACACAAAAATATCTGGAGAGGCATTGTAGGGGACACATTTCTCATACAGTTTCTCAAAGATATGTTCTGCGTACCGGGACAGACAGAAAGGGCAGCAAAACAAAAATGAAAAAAAGACAACACAATAATGTAGAACAATAATATAAATAATATGTGATATAGAAAATAAAATATAAAAATGTCAATGGAAATTGCCTCCAAAACACCACTTCTGTTCACTTTGTTTATGCTACCATTTGGATCAGATCCATAATAATAATAATGACTTTAACTTGGACGTGTCACCATGTAGACTAGGTGGGCGCCATTTGATGAAATGACAAATAAAGCAGACATGCCCATAAGTAATGTATTTAACTTGTTGCTTTAATGTGCTCTTTTTTATTCTACAAGAAAATGAATATTAGAGTGATATTATTTGTATCAGCAACATTACTGTCATTAGATGAAGTCAATACATTTGATGAACAATGTAAAGGCTAAGTTACTAGTTCTGGAGAATCATTCAAAGACGGCTAATGTCTGTGAATATAGATACATAGTTATATAGGCTGAAAAAAGGCTTGGCCCATCAAGTTCAGCCTTTCTCTCACCTGTTTATGCTGTTGATCCAATAGAAAGTCATTTTGAAGTGCTTTAACAATTTTTAACAAACTAGGAATTAAATTCCTTCTCAGTTTTTCTCCGATCTCTCCTTGGAGCTGTTTCCCCATATATTCAAAATATAAAATACTTTGAAAAATCACTTTTTCAAGAAGAGAATTACACAATTTTATTGTTCTTACTGTAAAAAAACATTTTCTTTGTCTCCTTTATTCAAGTCTAAGTGGTTGAGCTTGTCTACTATGCATAGTCCTGTTTATGAATGGATTTCCAGATAATGGTTTGTATCCGCTTAAATTGCATACTTTTATCACATCCCCTCTAAGGTGTTTTTCTAAGTTAAATAGATTATACCAGTTAGGCTTTTTTTTTCAGACTAAAATTGTCCATTCCCCTTATAATTTTTTTGCATAACTTGGCATTCATCTACATTACATTTATTCTGCCATTTGAGTGCCCAATCACTGAAACTATCTAAATTTCTTTCACAATGAAGTAATGTCCTGCACATATTGCATTACCTTACCTAGTTTTGTATGATCTGCAAACACTGATAAATGTTTTTCAATGTCTAATTCAAGAACATTTAAAAACAGAATGAATAAAAGTGGTCCAAAATAGACCCCTGACGGACACCACTTTTGAAAATTTACCATTAATGACAAATCTCTATATACTCTTTCTCTATCTTCTGTACAAACACAAATTTTCATACAGGCCAATTTATTTTAATATGACCACTAACCTTTTGTGTGAAACCATGTTGAACACGTTGGCACAATCCAGGAAGATCACATCCACTGCAACACCTTGATTTATACGTCTACTTACTTCTTCATACAATATAAATGGGCTTCTCGTTTTTAATCAGTGGAGTGCAATAAATGTTGTTATTAAATAGCTATTTAATATTACTTGTATTTTGTTATCATACACCATGATTTGGACTAAAAGCAATAATTTTCATGATGTAATTGTGGCCTGAAAAACCTGATCTCCATGTGTAAAATGGAACATGTCCTTGTCAGCTGTGCAGGGCCGGACTGGGAGAAAAATTCGGCCCGGGCATTTTTTTAACACAGCGGCCCACTAAAAAGGGGGCGGGGCAGAGGAGGTGTGTTTTGTCATCACCAATGACAAACACGCCCTTCTCTCAAAGTGAGCATGTTGGTTCAATGCTCTTCCAGGGCAGACCATGCGCAGAGCTCTGCTGAAGAGCTCTAGCATGAGAAAAAAGTCCTGTATTTGTTCTGCACACTGCAAGCAAAATTAATAACATGCTTGCACTGTGTTTCCTTGCAACTTGTCTCTGGTGTCTTTATAAATGGATACCAGGAGACAAAAGGCCAGGAAAGAGTATTGTGCATGTGTTTGGAGCCTGCTTGTGGTATTGCGTGTGTGCAGAGTGAGCTGGTCGTGGTGTGGTATTGTGTAATAAGGTCGGTTTTAGTCGTGTTGTGTTTGTGGTGTAATGTGATGCATATGTGGCTCAGGACCCCCTCCCGCCCGGCTCTGGAAAGGGGTTAAAACTTACCTTTTTCCAGCGCCGTGTGGGGAGCTCTCCTCCTCCGATGCGCACGCGCGGCAAGAGCTGCGCGCGCATTCAGCCGGTCGCATAAGAAAGCATTTATAATGCTTTCCTATGGACGCTTGCGTGCTCTCACTGTGATTTTCACAGTGAAAAGCACGCAAGCGCCTCTAGCGGCTGTCAATGAGACAGCTGCTAGAGGCTTTGGGGGAAGGCTTAACCCATTGATAAACATAGCAGTTTCTCTAAAACTGCTATGTTTATAAAACAATGGGTTAACCCTAGAAGGACCTGGCACCAAGACCACTTCATTAAGCTGAAGTGGTCTGGGTGGCTAGAGTGGTCCTTTAAGAGTGTAGTGTGTATATTATATATATTTGGAAGTATTGTGTATGTGTGTGGTGCAGTGTGTTGGGGGGGTTCTGTGTGTATGTGAGGGGTGCAGTATGTGTGTGTGTGAGGGTGCGGTGTGTGTGTGAGGGGTGCGGTGTGAGAGTGCTGTGTGTGGGGGGTGCGGTGTGAGAGTGCCGTGTGTGAGTGATGGGTGTGAGAGTGCTGTGTGAGATGGGTGTGAGAGAGTGCTGTGTGAGAGTGCTCTGTGAGAGAGTGCTGTGAGTGTGATGGGTG